GCAGAAACACAAGTTATGTACACACTTACATCTGTACATATAAATATCATATTTTGTCTTTATAAGTGTGTATTTCTGCAATGTGTTTTAATTTTAAATATAAATACAAACACATATGTACATGCATACACATTTATTACCATGTAAGTTCTTCTGGGTACCTCTTACCCATTTTTGTGCTAGTTTTGTTTCTATTGTTGTGATAAAAATCCTGGACAAAAAGCAAGCCAAGGAGAAAAGATTTATTTTAGCTCACAACTCCAGGCTACAGTCCATCCTGTCAGAGAAATCACAGCAGCAGGACCCCGAGACAGCTAGTCACACTGTACACTCAGAAGCAGAAAGAAGTGAATGCATATGTACCCCTTTATATTGTTTAGGACCCCCTGCCTAAGGAACAGTGCTTCCCACAGCTGGGTCCTCCCATATCAGTCAACTCAGTTAAGACAACCCCCCCCCCATAGACATGCCTACAGGCCAACCCACTGTAGATGATCCCTCATTGAGACTTTGCTCCCAGGTGATTCTGTGGTGTATCAAGCCCATAGTCAAAGCTAACCACCATGCCTTAGTTAGGGTTTCTATTGCTGTGAGAAGACACCATGACCAAAGCAACTCTTATGAAGGCATGCTTAATTGGGGTGGCTCACTTACAGTTCAGAGTTCAGTCCATTATCATCATGGTGAGACATGGCGGTGTGCAGGCAGACATGGTGCTGGAGCAGTAGCTGAGAGTCCTACATCTTTCAGGTAACAGGAAGTGGTCTCAGCCTCACACTGAGGGAAGTTTGAGCAAAAGAGACCTCAAAGCCCACCCTCACAGTGACATACTTCCTCCAACAAGACCACATCTCCTAATAGTGCCACTCCCTTTGAGGGCCATTTTCTTTAAAACCACCACACACCACAGTACCTTTGCTTGTGATATTTGGTTTTTAATGACTCTCTTCAGTTGTAAATATGTATCTTCAGTCATGTCAAGAATGTCTTAGTCTCAACAATACCAGGAACATATCTCATAAACACTCATTTCCTCATAATACATACAAACATGTTACAATACATACCACTATGACGTTGAAAAATAAAGTGAGCTTGTTTTTGTTTTTCAAGACAGGGTTTCTCTGTGTAGCCCTGGCTGTCCTGGAACTCACTCTGTAGACCAGGCTGGTCTTGAACTCGGAGATACCCTCTGCCTCTGGAATACTGAGATTACAGGCGTGCACCACTATGCCCATCTAAGCTATTTTTTTATTACTTTCTTTTTCCCTTTTTATTTTTGTCATTCTCAGGATGTGTCCCACCAGGATCTACCATCCGATTACTGAATTAGAGGCTGGAGAGATGGCTCCGTGGGTAGGAGCACTTGCCACACAAGCACCCATGTAAAAAGCTAGGCACCGTCGTGCATTTCTATAATCCCAGTGCTGTGGGAGGCAGAGACAGGAGAATCTCCGAGGTTTATTGGCTGTCAGCCTAGCCCCTGGTTCAGTGAGAGACACTGTCTCAAGGTAGTGCAGGAAAAGTAAGGGGGTGGGAGATCCAACATCCCCCTTTGGCCTTCACAAGCACGCGCGCGCACACACACACACACACACACACACACACACACACACACACACACACACATCCAAATCACAGAATCAATGGAACAGTCCCTTTCTGTGTGGCTATACCAACAATTTGTTCACAGACACATTCCTGTCTTTCCTTTTATTCCTAGTTAGGGATTTTCATTTTAAGTTTAAAGCTTGTTTTATAATAATGTAAACCTGGAACACCAGGTGTATTCAAGAAATGCTGAACTGTTTCCCTGTCTCTGTAGGCTTTATCTTTCTTTTTCCTCCTTCTGCAAAGCTCTAGTCTTTATATAGTCCATCCTTGAGTCTCTGTCTCAATAAATGTGTTTGTGTATGCATCCTCCTCTTGGGATAATGTGATCATGTGGTTCACACACACACATGCCAGGGCTTGCTCCTGCTCAGGCTTGCTGCTGCCCAGTCATCACTGTGGAGGGCTCCAGCAGTCCTGTGTGATGAATATTTGCATTTTCATATTTTATACCCCAACCAACAGTGTGACTGAGGGCCAGCTTCTCTGCAAGCTGGTCTGTGGCACGGTGGTCATAAGAGTTTGATCAATCATTGCAGTCTGGATTTCTTACTGTAAATGAAACAGTATGCTTTTAAACGATGTCCTCTTGGGATTAGGGGTGGATCTTAGGCAGATATTGATAAAGCTGTTTGTGTGATTCTCAGTACAAGTAGAGCCAAAACCCACTAATGCTGTGCTTCCAAACACTGAGTGCCACTCACCTATGAAGCAAATTCCCACAATGCATGACTGACAGGCTATGCCAACAGGTGAACTCTCGCAGGGTCTAGCACCAAGAAAGATTTATTATTATTATTTGACATAATGAAAGGAATTGTTGGGCTTTGTATTGTAGATCATATACCCTATAAATCAATATCCCTCCCTCAAGTGGAGTTAATAGAAATGTAAGAAAGTCTGGAGAGATGACTTACAAGTCAAGAGCACACACTGCTTTTGCAGAGGATCCAAGTTCAATTCCCAGTACCCACTCCTAGAGACTCACGATCGCCTGTAGCTCCTGTTCCAGGGGATCGGATGATCTCTTCTGGACTTCACCAGCACCTGCACACACGTGCACATACCCACACACAGGCACACATGCATACACATAACTTAAGAAATATAAATTAAAAAAAAATAGTAATACAAGGAAGAAGAGAGGCCTTCTCCAGTCGTACTACCGTAGACCTGAGCATCACACTTAACAATTCTGAGTAGGGATGAGAAAAGAGGCGGAAGGGTAGGTCACTGCTGAGTCCCAGGTGTCCTCACTGGAGGCTGGCTGTGCCACTGGCAGGGCACATGCCCAGAAGGTGTGTTTGTTTGAGAGCTCAGTGGAGTGTGAATTCTAGTCAGCTGCTCCACAGCAGCCCAACCCCCATCTGCCCTCTAGACCTTGGACTTGAAGGAAGTATTCCTTGGCAGTGTGACCTTGGGTATTCGCTCCAACCCTTTGCAGCCATGGACTCCAGCTCTTTGCAGCCCCTAGACCACATTTACATGTCAAGGGTCCCCATGGGGCCTGGCATCAGCCACAGTTTTCCCTAACAACAGGGCACAATCCCTGACATTTGAGAGATGCCAGCCCTTAAGCCAAAACCACACTTCCCTGCTATGGGCCTGGGCTAGCACTGTGGCTCTTCTCTCTGTGTTCTTCCTATTCCTGGAGTAAAGGTTTGGCCTTCTTGTCTCTAATCTTCCTGTAGGACTCATCTTAGTTGTTGCTGCTGCTGTTGTTATTGTTGTTGTTATTGTTGTTGTTATTATTGTTGTTGTTGACCTCTACTGTTTTACTTCATTTCTTCCTTTGTGGTGACCAACTCCTCTAGCCTTGTTTCTTTGGGTTGGAGCTTTGGGTCTCTTTAAGTGCTTGAGAGCAACATTGGGCTAACTGAGTTCCACTTTTCTTTCTTCCAAGATTTGTTTTGTTTTTGTTTGTGTGTGTGCAGAAGAGGGCACCAGATTCCCTAGAGCTGGAGTTACAGGTGGATATGAGCCGCCCAACATGGATGCTAGGAACCGAACTCAGGCCTTCTGAAAGAGCGGCAAGCCCCTTGGTCCACTGAGCCATCGCTCTAGACCCAAGTTGCGCTTTTCTTACCTTCAACTAAATGTACTGAGGACATTTGTTCATTCCCTTTCGGTCCTGAGTAATTACTGTTTCTGTTTGAATCACTCCGTAACTATGAATAAGTTTTGTGGACTTACAAGTTTTCAAAGGAGTGAGTTTGGGGGTTCTAATCTGCACTGTTGAGGCTATAGTAACTCATGGTGTTGGTTTTGTTTCACTGGAGGGATGAGGTTTGAGATCAGTCTCGTTGTGTAGACAGGCAGGCCTTCAATTTGCTATGTAACCCAAACTAGCCTCAAATTCACGATCCTCCTGCCTCCGTCTCCCAAGTGTTGGGATCACATGCATGCCTCACTACACCTGATTTAACATATCATTTTCGGAGGCTACTTGGGGGAGCCCAATTTATTCACTAAATCATACATTGTACGTTTTAAATCAGTTTTCACGAGTAATTTGGGGTTTAAAATAATGAATCTTCTGCTCGCACAGCGCTGTATTCTTAAAATAGCAACTAGCTTGAGTTGGTTAACTGTCCTTTCTGCTTCACTGCCTGGCAGAGTTATGCTCCAACCAGCCACATTCTGCCTGGGTCCAAGACACAGACATACCTGTTAAGGGCTGGTTGCTTTGGTGTGGTGGCTTCTTCATTGCTTCAAATAAGGCTGGTTTCCAGGAGTTGACAACCATGTAGTCTCTGTTTAACTGGCCTATAAAACCTAGGTGTAGGACTCCCTGGTTGTCCTGCCTGTTCAGTTATGGATATTTGTCCTGTACCAATATCTAAGAATGGAACTGATGAATGTCCTTATGAAGAGCAGGAGGCCTGTGCCCCTGTGCCCAGCATCAATCCAGATTCTTTACCCTTGCTGACTTGATCGTGTAGGTGTCACGTTACTTCTCAGAGCTGTGTTTCCTTACCGCTCGTGTGTTGGCAGAACCCAGCTTTTCCCACTGGTAGAAAACGGTTGTGATGAGGCTCAGCCGAGATAGCCTCAAAATTCATTATTTCATTATTGTTTGTGTGTGTATATGATATGGTGGTGTGGTGGTTCATGCCATGGCGGGTATGTGTTGGTCAGAGAACAACGTGTGGGACTCTGTTCTCCCCTTTCACCATGTGTGGGTCCCAGATGAGCCATCTCACTGGCCCTGATCCTCAAATTTTAAAGGTGTAGCTAGAAGACACCTGCGAAGAAGTTTTCTTCTTTTGAGCATGGCCTCGGTGACTCTTAACCATCCACCCTCCAGAAGGAGTCTGAATAGGGTGAGGCCAAAGGAAGTATTTGGAGGACCCTGAAATTTTCCCTTGTTCTTTCTTCCTCTCCATCAGTGTGGCAGACAGACACCGCAGCCATGACCACCCACGTCACTTTGGAAGATGCCCTGTCCAACGTGGACCTGCTGGAGGAACTGCCCCTCCCGGACCAGCAGCCATGCATCGAGCCTCCGCCATCCTCCATCATGTACCAGGTAATGGAAATGGTAGCATGCAATGGTGAGACCTGGAATCTGGAGGTCTTGTGAAAGGATCTATCTGCCTGGAAGTGCAGGGAAGAGGACGTCTCGGAGGTAAAAGGTCAGGGGCTGATGGAGTCCCTGTGCACTCTAGGAGCCCAGTGGAAGGAACAGGTTAACTAATGTATGCCAGGACCATTTCCCTGCTCTAGGGAGCATTTGTTGATCTGTTCTGACCCTAAATTCCTTCTGGACTGTTCCTGTTGCTGCATCGCCCAGGTTATGGCATCCCTGATCTCATGAATTAAATATCACAATTTAGAAGCCCCTGGAGCCTGCCTGGATAATTACTTTTCCTGAACGCCTATGACAAGAGCTCACACAAATCCATACAGCGGCCAGTGGCTCAGGGAAGTAGGTCACAGTTATTTGCTCTGGCCCTAAATCAGATCTTGTGATAAACCACCATCCCATTACACACACAGCTTTGACCCTGGCAGGTCCGTGAAGAGGGCATCCATGCAGCTGGAGGCAGCCTGACCAAGGCCTCTTGTCTGGGTGTGCCAGGCTGAGCGCTCTGTTAAGAAGGAGTGTGTTGATTGGAAATCGGGGCCGTGTTAGACCGTTTTGCTAAGTCTTAGACGGTGAACTATGACTATAATTATGTATTTTTTCATTTCATTTAATAGTTAAATAAATCTTCACATACTTGAAGATTCAGTTCCTAAATCTGTCTTATTCATAGCTTTTTAACACAGATTACAATTTTAATTATATAAGCATATTTTGATTTTAGTTTTATAGAGAGACATTTTCATTACAAACAAAATGGAAAAGTATAGCATAGAAATAAATTTCTTATACTGATATACTCTCCTCTGTGTACATAGACATTTTGTTTTATTAAATATATGTGGTATATGTTGTTTTCCTTTTTACCAAAACAAGAATTCATGGTATATTTATATATAATGAATATATAATATATATATATTATATATATAAACTGTTCGGATTTATCTTTTCCTTAATGTGTGTTGTGGAGTGAGGTGTGGTGGCTCACAGATGTTATCCCAGCATTCCAGAGGCTGAAGGAAGAGGATTGCTCTGAGTCTGAGGCTAGCCTGGGCTACAGAAAGAGCCTCTGTCTCAGAAATCACAGCAGCGAAAGCTTTTGTGGCTATTGTTGCACCTCAGCACTGCAGTAGATGCCTCATGTTAAGCAGCTCATGGTCTTCCCAGCCCGTGGTTCTGTAGCTTTTGCTGGGTGTTCATTGTTTCCAGGTCGTGTTGAATTGTAAAAACTGCAGTGGTGGCCTGACTTATACATCTCCACCTGTGCACCCTCAGGCAAGCGTGTCCAAATGGCTGGATCAAAGCCATGCATACCTTGACTTTTAGTGGCTGTTTAGACTTGCCTTGTTAGCTGGGAGTATGATTTCCTTGGGCTTGGACTTTTATTCATCATGACAAGCATATAAAACAGATTAATTTTAGTGTACTTATCACATGAATAAATTGGCCAAGTTTATTAGTAAATCCTTACTAACTGGAATTATAAATTTGTCAATTTGGAATTAAACATTTACTTCTGAGGCTTGATTGAGCAAAACCGGTCACCTGTGCAAAGCAGGTGCTGTCCATCTGTCCTCAGCTGACTTGAGGTGGTAAGGGGTGGTATTTGAAAGCCACAGGGCAGTAGATGTCCACAGAAAGCTTGTGGCTTTTGTTGGCATCGGTTCGCTCCCTAGAAATCCAGCTAACTTAGATGTGTTTTTCAATAACCAAATGTCCCCTCCCATCCTCTACCTCCACAGGCTAACTTTGACACGAACTTCGAGGACAGGAATGCGTTTGTCACGGGCATTGCAAGGTACATTGAACAGGCAACGGTCCACTCCAGCATGGTAAGTCTCCGTGACCCACATGTGCAGATACACACCCTGCTGAAGCAGGAGGAACCGTGGGCAGCTTCCCACACCAGGCCTGTGCTTAGCTACTCCAATATGCTCTGCCTTAGTCAGCTGGGCTATGGGAGTCCATTCCGGAAACCAGGCTCATGCCCTCTCTACGCCTTGTGGCATACGCCATGCCTTGCTCATTGTGCTCACTGTAGGCTCATCTGAACCCTACTGTTCACTTCCCTGATGCCAGGGCTTCTGGTCTTTTTAGGTACACAGGTGAGTAAGTCCTACTTCAATCTTATCCTTACAGATGACTGGGGGGCGGGGCACTGTTTGGTCTCTTGACAAAGAAAACAATTCCTCATAAAAAGGGCAAGTGATGTTGATGTGGCTTTGGAAAATGTCATTTATTGATTCAAGGCAGCTACTTGCCTAAATCGTTCATAAATGGGGCCATTTGTTTGCCCTCTTAGGGTTTGACCCTAAGAGGGCAGACTCCCCTCTCCCCTTTTATCTACAGTGAAGTTTTCAGAATTCTGGATTCCTCATCCAAGGGCTCCTGTGTGTACTTTTCTGGACCCCTCTCACTGTGGGGGGTGTTCTAAAACCTCGACTCATTCGTTAACTGTTGTGTATCTGCTGTGAGCTGGTCCTGGGATTAGTGTGGGGCCAGTCTCAGTTCTGAGCAAGTCAGTGGGGAAGAAACAAGTCAACCAAACATTGTTTTTCTATGCAGCTGTTTCAGGTTCACTGTCTCATTTAATCCTCACACAGACCCTGTGAGGTAGGTGATGGGCAGCCCCGGTACTCCAGTTGGCCAACACTGGAGCCTCTCAACTGTTAAGAAATTGACTTGAGCTGGGCAGTGGTGGCGCACACCTTTAATCCCAGCACTTGGGAGGCAGAGCCAGGCATATCTCTGTGAGTTCGAGGCCAGCCTGGGCTACAGAGTGAGTTCCAGGATAGGCAGCAAAGCTACACAGAGAAACCCTGTCTCGAAAAAAACAAACAAACAAACAAAAAAAGCGAAAAAAAGAAATTGACTTGAGGGTCTCACAGCTGATGGGTGGTAGTTCTAAACTTGGGATTCTCTGGTGACAAAGCTTGGCACTCTGGACTATTCTTTGTAGGCAAATAAACACATATAAACATTCAACATCATGGTAAAAGTTTGGAGTTCAGTTTTTGAAGGGGCCCTGAGGAGGCTGGAAGAAGCTCCCCGGAGAGGAAGCAGCTTTTGAGCACAGCCTTCTCAGAGGGTAATGATAGGGTGTGTGTACACACTGCCTTTTGAAATGTAGGCAGGGTGACCTGCTGTGTGATATCATGAGAACCCCATAATAACCCCAGGGCTTGCAAAGGGATCATTATACCTGTTGTACAGATGAGAAGACTGAGGTCTGAAGAAGTTAATAAGCAAATTGCTCATCATCCTACAACTAGTAAGTCCTTACATGAACCATGAACCTGGGAACAGTCCTGACCTCTTTCTGTGGTTCTTTCTATGTCACATAGGATTGTAGCAGTCAGAGATGAGATGGGGAGGGGACATCAGACGAGCATCAGCACAAGCAAATACAGGAAACTACCCAAAATTGTGTGTGTGTGTGTGTGTGTGTGTGTGTGTGTGTGTGTGTGTGTGTGAGAGAGAGAGAGAGAGAGAAAGAGAGAGAGAGAGAGAGAGAGAGAGAGAATATGAGTGTGTGTGTGTGTGTGTGTGTGTGTGTGTGTGTGTGTGTGACTATATATAGCATATATGAATGAGGTAAGGGCTCTATACATGGAGATCATATTTGCTGCCTAGGCCACCATTGCAATACTGTGACCAGTGGGCTTAAGCAAAGCGTTTCCCTCCCGCAGCCCTCGAGGTTGGGACTCCTGGACCAGGGTCAGCAGGGCTGATTTCTCTTGCTGTCTCTTTGGCTACCCTGGCTCTTTCCATACAAACTCCTGTGTGTCCAATGTGTCTATGTGTACCCAAGTTCCCCCCTTTATGAGGATGCCAGTCAGATTGAGTGGGAGCTTGCCCTCACAATGTCCGGTGAGCTTCATCGCCTCTCAAAAGGGCCCAGCTAGTCACAGTCTCCAGTACCAGGTTTAGGGCTGGAGCTTCGGTATGGTGTGTGGGGAGGGGAAGGGAACATCCATTTGATGAAAATACAGATCGGAGCCTGGAGATGTAGCTCCGTTTCTGTTGTTTGAGTACCCGTCTAGAACACACAAAGCCCTGGCTTGATATCCAGTGCCAGATAAACTGGGCATGGTGTGGCAAACACTTGTAACCCCAACCATGGGGAGGTGAAGGAAGGAGGATCAGAAATTAAAGATCACTTTCTCAGCTACATAGGGAGCTTGAAGCTAGCTTGGACTAGAGACCCTATCATAAACGAGCAAACTAAATAGATAAGTAGCAGTGGGTGATTTTCAACCTTGGGAGAGAGGGAGCAGAACTCTGCTTGAGCCATTGCCTTATCTATGAATCACTCATGGAATGGGGGTGTGAATGGAACACATATACTGGAGGAGATCCATCCTGAAAATGATGGTTGCTGGAGGCATGAAAGGCTGAGTGGGGGTAGTGGTCTTAGGGAGAGCTGTAATGATCACGTACATGAGAGAAACTGGCTATCACCTCCACCTGGTGTAATGATTCTTCGGGGGTGGAGGGAACTAGAACCATGCAGACTGAGGTGTCTCAGAACTACCAGGTCACAGGCTTGGATAGTCAAGTCTGGGACAGGCTGGCTCTAAACATGATTACATTTGTTTTCTGATGCTGCTGTGAGAAATTGTATAATTGGTTTAGTTGAGAGAGTGCTTGCCTAGCATTCGAGAAGCCCTAAGTTTGATCCCAACACCACCTAAACTGAACTGTCCAGAGGGCAGAGAGTGCACATCATGTTTCTCAGAGTCCTGCTTCTCTCTCTCTCTCTCTCTCTCTCTCTCTCTCTCTCTCTCTGTCTCTCTCTCTCTCTCTCTCTCTCTCT